ATGGAGACCGTTTTAGAGAAATTCAAATGCATGGACTACAAACTCCATCTGATCTAGAATGCTATATAACTTGCAGGTTGACCAATATTTTTAAACTATACAGATTCTGTACACAGCAGTTGTATTTTCAAATCTTTGGTAGTTTTTCTTTTTTTCCTGAAACGTTTGATGCATCAGTATCTCATATTTTTTTTAACTTGCCCTCCCCCACCCAAATGTTTTATGTACCTTAGGCCAGAAAATCTCGCTGATCATAGATCTGGGTGCTGATTCCCATTTATTAAACAGATTCCTCTCTATGTGCAGTCATCTCAAAAGTTGCATCCAACAACCACATTTCATAGGATAATGGCATTTAAATCACTTGTATCTGTTTTCTAAAGATAACATTCTTATCTAGTTTCACTCTGCCAAATGTATTATTCTACCACAAAGTAGTGAGCTGAAGTTAATGCTTAACTGCAATAAACTATACAAGCCTCCAAAATCAGCGTATTCACTTTCTCCTCTTTTCTCCATTCTCTTTAGTTGATGTTGTATCTGTGCATTTTTGAAAGAGGGTGTGGTTCAGAGTATTGCTTTGTGTTAATCATACCTTGAATCTATTTGAAGTCATCTTTCTCTCACACACAGTTATAATTTAAAGCCGAGTATAGTCTTTATGTTCATTAGAAATCTCTGTTGGTTCATATTAAAACATGTTTAATCACTTGGAAGTAAAGTACATGGCACTGAATGGTTTTAAAATCCTGAGAAAATAGTGAGTACATTTTTTTTTTTTTTTCAAATTGACACATTTAAAAATCTTACTTTGCATATGTTAAATCAGATTCCCATCTTACACTGGTAAATTGCCATTGGACCAAGAGTTTAGAAAAATGCATAATCTTTACACTGAGAATATCCTACTCTTGCTCACTTTTTTTTTACTTTTTTTTCACCTGCCATTACTTTAGGGTGGGAAAAGTTCAACAAACATCATTAAGACTTAAAAACAGAAATTTTCTCTTCCTCTATCATTTCCATTTTCTAATTCATTGTATACAACTTTACCCTGATAATTCACCACCTGTTTCAACCACTATTGTGGGTCCTAATGCACGTAAACTCATGTGTCCTTTCCATTCAAAGAGTGCAAAAATCTAGGATAATGATGTTGGGAGGAGGTAAATGTGACTCCCAAAATGCTGCTTCTGAAGACAACGTAAACACTATGCTACACATATGATGTGCCCAGGAGAGCCCCGTTTTATAGCTGTTGCCCAGGCCAACTATTAATAATGCCTCCTTTCAATCTCAAAAGGGTCCTGGTTTGGACTCTAAAAGATATGGTCATCTTAATTATACAAGTTTAAAGATATCTTAATCTTGTTAAAGAAAGACTCAAAATGAAAAGTTTCTTCCAAATATCACTGTGGAGTAAGCACTCAGAAATTCCTATTTCTCTACAGAGGTAGAATAGTAGTTGCTCTGGAGTTGGATTGCTAGAGTTAGAATCCTGGCTTTACCACTTAATAACCATGAAACCTTCAGCAACTTACACAATCTCTCTTCACCTCAATTTACTTAATCTGTAATGATGGGAATAAAACAGTACTTAAGTCATTGTAAGGATTAAATAGAATGTAATAAAATACTTAGCACTGTGCTTTGCACAGATTCTCAGTAAATGGTAGGTATCTTTAGGCGACACTAAAAAATGCCACTCTCATTTTCATTTCCCTGTTCAAGTAAAACATCACACGGGTTGCTTCAAGGTATATTTACAAAGCTATTACTCTGTAAAGCATTTTAGGATAATGCTACACAATGTCTAAAATGGGTGAGATTACCAAAGACCAACATAATTTCGTATCTGGGACTCCTGAGAAGACCAAACTGACCTGTCACTCTCAAATTCAGTACCTTTTCCCATCCATGACAACCAGGTTGTTGCTCTACTGAAGGATCTCTGGCAAATGTTACCAACTGTTGGAAATTCAATGGAATCCCTTTAGTCCTCATTGCAGCATGCTGTGGTTTTTTCAAAAGATCTAGCTTGTCTACCACCACCGTGGCTCGTTTAAGCTTCCTTCTTTGCAGTCTGTCTGCCCCTTATGTGCTGTTTATTAGCAAGTATTTGGTCCACTTTTCTCCTCACTTGATCCTATATGATCTTACGGGCTTTAAGCAGCACCTCAACAAACAGCCAGATACATACTTCTGGTCCAGGCCAATCCCAATTCCAGACTAGCATATCCAACTGCTAATATCTAAGCAAATTAGATGTCCTACAGGCAGTTCATTATCTTCTGCCTCCAGAACTCCACTTCTCTATTTCCTATTCCAGTTAGAAGCACCCTCATCCACGTGGAAGACATCTAATGAGTTTGTGGACTTCTTTCAAATTTGTGCCCTTAATCTTCACCATATCCTAAGTTCAAGCGCAAATCATCTGTTCCCGTGAATTTCTATGCTTTAGAACTATCCTGGCAGCAATGTAGGTAGATAGAATCTGTTGAAACAGGTAGGAAGACTACTGCAAATTCATTGGTCTTCTTTTGCTTAAATCCAGTGGCTGGTTCCATATTAACTACAGGGTAAAGTCTAAACATCACTCAGCCAAGGAAACTTTCCAACTTTGGGTCCTCCCTACCTTTCCAGTTGTCTTTTAACACACCACCCTTTAGGTCAAACTACTAAAAGTTCCCAGATCTTGCTCTGTAAGGTGTGATGATGTAACCCCTGCTGCAAAGCAAACCCCAATACTACCCATCTTTTACCTCTTCCAGGTTCTGCATAACATACTTAAATCTTCCATCTTAGATGTGTATATGGAGAGAAGGCAGGGATAATATCTTATTCATATTTGGTTTTCAGGGAATGCTAAATGAATATTGGCTAAATAAAAATCCATACGGCCAGGCGTGGTGGTTCATACCTGTAATCCCAGCACTTTGGGAGGCCAAGGCAGGCAGATCAGGAGGTCAAGAGATTGAGACCATCCTGGCCAACATGGTGAAACCCCATCTCTACTAAACATACAAAAATTAGCTGGGCATGGTGGCATGCACCTGTAGCCCCAGCTACTCAGGAGGCTGGGGCAGGAGAATTACTTGAACCTGGGAGGTGGCGGTTGCAGTGAGCCGAGAGTGCACCACTGCACACCAGCCTGGTGACAGAGTGAGACTCCATATATATATATATATAAAAATCCATACAACGATAACTTAAAAATTTCATAACCAGGTTCTCTTCGAGAAGCAGACACTTCATTTGAGCTAAACCCGTTAATATTATGTGATCTCAAATTTCAATTGACCAATTACTAGCATTTTGAAGAACCTGTCAATTTACTACTTTGGGAAAGTTACTTAGACCTTATTTCAAAATACAAAAGCCTCTGCAACCCCAGCACTTTGGGAGGCCGAGAGGAAGACTTGAGCTCAGGAGTTCAAGACCAGATTGGGTAACATAACGAAAATCACTACAAAAAATACAAAAACTAGCCAGGCGCGGTGGCATGTATCTGTGGTCCCAGCTACTCGGGCGGCTGAGGTGGGAGAATGGCTTGAGCCCAGGAGGTTGAGGCTGCAGTGAGTTGTGTTTGTGCCAGTGCACTCCAGCCTGGGTGAGACCCTGCCCAACCCTCCCCTTCCCCCTCCCCCCAAAAAAGACAAAATACAAAAGCCAAATGTTTTAAACTGATTTAACCTATTAAGTTCAATTGCTATACTGATTGTTAAGTTCTTGCGTTCCTATTTAACTGGTGACAATGGGAAAAGTATGATTTAGCTCCCACTTTCTGGATCACATCTACTTTTTCTATGCACTGTGTGATTAGCTTTTTTCTCTAAAAACGTGTGTATTAGGATGTAAACTTGTTTCATTATTAAGGCACCTAGAGTGTGCCTTAATGGGACTTGCCTATACAAATAGTAAAAAGAAAAAAAAATTATTCTGTCTTCTAAAATCTTAAAAATGCAATTATAAAGGATGTTCAATTGAAGATAAAAAAAAAGTTTGTGATTTCAATTATCTAATTGTATTTAAAAAAAATGTTGATGTGTTTGATTTTTACTCCCAATCCTCTACCCAAAGACTAGGTTCCTGAATAAGTATTATTCTTGACATAGAATCCAAATATGAATTATACTAAATTTCTCTTAAATGTCAGATAATTTATCTAAATGTCAGATAACTTATTCTCTTAAATGTCAGATAAATTAATCTTGGCAATAAACTATCTTAAAATCATAGAAAATAAGACAGTGTCAGTAAGATAAACTAGAACAGGTTAAGAAACATTTAGGTAGTGGTTCAGCATTCTTATAATCTTTGCTTCTTGATGGTTGGCTTGCAATTTTCGTTTGCAAAAATGTTCGTCTTGAGTTATTCTCAATAACCTTTGGATAGGAGATTTTACAAGAAAACCACTTAAAAATATTAGTGATTAAATGTCCTGAATAGCATTTAGACAAGCATTCTTGCTCCATAATTAAAATAGATTTGGAATTCTTTCCTTCTGAAATTATAATTAAGAGATGATTACTTCTAGTAGATAGCCAATATTTACCAAATTATTAACTAGTCGAAAAAAGTATCTCCATGCTTTCAACCTTCAAACTGTTTCTAAGAGGACAACATACTCTAAATCTGAAAGAGTATGTGATTAATGCAATCAGCAGGGCATTTCACTAGAAATAGAATAAGCTCTCTTTAGCCATATATATATAATCTTGATTTACAGCATTCTCTATTCTCTATGCTTCTTCACTAATGCTTCCTGGAAAATTCATACAAAGAACAATATGATTAAATGAGATATGTGTCAAATGCTTCAGAAAATGGAGGTACAAATGCAAGGTGCTGTTATTACAAAATGAAATACTATCATTAATTAGCAGTGATTTGTGAACACTAATATAGATTGCTATATTTTACTAGTGATGGGGAATTTGCAGCACTCCTCCCCCAAATCATGTCATGCAAGCAACAAAGCATGAGATTTCAAAATTGCCTAACATTAAAAAATAAGTCTCTTAATTTATTTTCATTCTAAAATAGAGCCCTTCATCCTGAATCCCCTTTTCCATATAAAACGTTACTAAGTCATGTACAGGATTTGTCAAGCCCATATAACATTCCTTTTAAAATCTTAAGTTCAATCACTATTTGTTTTCTACTATTATACTACATTTTGGCAGCAATTGTTTATTGGTCTGTCATTGCAGTAATTGCAACTTAACAATAAACCAGTCTGACATTTTAGGTCTTGAGGATACATACCATATATATTTCTTTAAAAATAATCATACTTTTTGTAAGCAATACTTTACAGTAGACACCTCAAAAATCTACCATAGATGTGAAACTTAAAACGAGAAAAATTTAAGTTCTAAATATTTATACATATATATCCAGATTTCTATATATATTATATATACATACATAAGTATATATAAAATATATATAATCAGATTTCAAAAATGAACAAAAACTGGGCACTGTACATAAAGTCTTTTTAAAACTCAAACAATAGAAAACTCTTTAAACATTAAACAATTTTAATAAAAGTTTCTGTACAATGCTAAGCAGTTTTATTTACACATAGAAAATGTAATAGGAGTAGTGTTTGAAATTACAGAACTCCTTAAAATTTCAATGGCAGGTAAATCTGGAAAAAATAACAGCATTCCATTCACAAATATTTTCAAGCAATAAATATGTATTTATAAATAGTGTAAATTTACATCAAGATTAGAAACAAAAATCACAAATCTGAAGTTTATTCCTTAGTCTATGTGCAATCCATTACCTTTGTGACTTGGCTGTTAATTTTTTTAATGTTTTATTTAGGAACCAAAAGTGTAACCATTATGGTCTCAAAACAAGACAGAAAAACATAAAAGCAGTAAAAAAGTGTCTTACCTAACTTTTCACATTAAAAAAAAGTTGACCAAAGAAAGACTTAAAATTGCTAACTACCTTACAAAGAAATGACCAGCTAGGCTAGTATTTTTTTTCCAAGGAAAATTCTGAAGGGGGAAAAGACAGATGAAAACAAATTCATCAGCCCAGAAATAGAGAAATATAAAAGAGGTTGTCTTCAAGTCAGTAGTCTGTAAGATGTTGCCAGTTTTGTCAGATATATACAAAACATGGAAATTATTATTTTTTTGTGAAGTACAGCTGATCAGCTTTGTGAGAGTCCTGGAGTAGGAGCAGTACTCTCTCCCGTCCAGCTGGTTGACACTCCGCACTTGGAAGGTTGCATAGACACAATTTTCAGCCAGCAGCCTTACGAGATAGCTACAAAAACCAGTGGTGCAGAACTGGGTTATTTCCTGAATAGAAAAAAAGGTCTCATTTAATGTCCATGGAACAATATCAAGATGAGGCGGATGGTAATGGAGGAGCCTGAAAATAAAAGTAAGGTAGGTTATTTTGATATACAAATTGTTAATAGCTCATGGCTACAAACATGAGCCCTGCTTATGAAGTTAGGGGAAATAACTCTCAAAAAGTTCACCAGCCTGCTACACAACATAAAAGTACAACCTACCTTACTATCTGCCATTCAGCCAATTTTCCTAAGAGTCTAAGACCATTATCCTACTCAGCGTACTTGCAATTTTCTATATTTCTTCACCAATTAGTCAAAAACTCTTGGAATGTTATTAAGTTTACCGTTTCTTAAGAGTGCTTAAAAAAAGGGGGGCTTCTTGAAAAATAATTTAACAAGTTACAATTTCACTAGTGACTGTCTTCAGAATCTATCTCAGCTAGGTAATATATTTTCTTCAACATATTCCAGATAATTTTCTTCTTCAAGCAATCTTGAAGACTATTCAAGTGAAAATATCAGAAACTAAATTTCAAAAAGTTAGTTTCTGATCACATGTGTGGGAGACAAGTACTGGAGAAAATCAACAATTCATAAATTATCTCTGTTTCTATTCATAAAGCTATTGATCTGCTAAAGTAAAATGCTTCCCCCAAGCATCTGCTGTCTGAAATTAAAAACTGTGTGCAATTTATAAGTATACTTGAATTTCATAAGGTTATATAACATACCAGGAAGTTAAGCTCCATTAAATATTCCCATGAGGTTAATACTTCTGGCAAGGACAAAATTTTAAACAAATACAATTAGCTCTAAAAGCAGAAGTATATTTAAAAGCACATTTACTGATTCATTTTGTGGGCTCTAATAACCTACGTACACAAACATTTTATCAACTTATCAACTGAGATAAAATGACATAAAGAATATGATAGTGTTCCATCTAAAGCACGTGAAGATTTTTAAATGTAACTGTTGTAAAATTATTTAGGCTGGTCTTACCCAGGAAGAAAACTGAAAATGATATATGCCAATTTTATAGGAATAAATACTTGGAAATGGAGGGGGGAATGATATGAATACACCCTCATGCAATATGTAATGAGCCAAAGGGAAATTTAAAATATTTCATTACCTCCTACTTATCAGGTGGCAGAACAAACACTGCTGCTTCATAACCCAGCTAACTATGTACTCACATGTTGATTTGACTTACTAATGTAAATTGGTCATAGACTTGCATCAGGTCCTCCATTTTGTACTGTTCTAGCACCACAAAGTTTTCCAGGTTTCCGCTTGTTTTTCGTGCACAATCTTGGCAATGTACTATGTAGGTCTTTCGTGAATTACTCTCATTAGTGACAAAAAGCAAATCAAAAACCTCCACCTGTTTTATACAAGAGAAAAACGTATTCAATAGAGATGGTGGTATTCACTGTACTGCTTTAGTATAATCATGGAATTCTACTTGAATGAAATTGTGGACAGTGATCTCTGGTTAAGAGTAGGTGGTAAGAAAAACATGGCTGTGTTTGAGAATCTTTAACAGACCAGGTTTATTTTGCACCAAATCGAAAGACATGGGTAGTAATGCATATTTAGGGGAATAATCAAAGGGAATGACATACTCATGTCATTGAACCCAGTTCAAAAGTTTGATAAAGGTCAACCTATTTTTAAATCTAAAACATTAGCATACAATCAGATGTAAGTGATCATTTTTATGTATTCATGAGTACAGCATGATTTTAGAAATAATACCTCTGTCTTATACAGAAAGATTGATGAGTTGCTAGGGTTCAGGTAGGATAAGGAACATCGCAGCTAACTGGAATCTATCTGATCTCCTAATGACTTACTTTGGTCAGGTCATACAACATTAAAAAAAAAAAAAAAAATCAATGGATTCAATCATTTCAAAAAAAAAAAAAAAATAGAATTACAGAATTTCAAGGTTTGAAATGAACCATCAACAACCTGTCTTTGGCTTATCCTTAAATTTCTTCAATGACAGAAAACTCTTACGATCTCATGTCTTCTTTTAACAGTAAACGACAATCCTAGAGTTCACCATGTTATCCTTCTTTAATATTCCCATTGCCAGGTTCTAGTCTAGGCCTTAAAATAACAACTCTTAAGACCACTGCAATAGCTTATATACCACTGTCCTTTCCAACCACTTTTCTCCCTGAAACACATATCTCACCCTTAGTTGCTTGCTCAAAACCTTTTAATGGCTTCAGTGACCTTGGATTATCAAATTCCTTAAAACCATTCAAGATGTGCTACAAATTACATGCCACCTAGACTTACGAGTGGAATTTGCACAGTCTGTGTTCCAGCCAAATTGGAACACATTCAACCTTTTCTAAAACCTTTCCATTTCCCCGTTCTCTTCTTGTTCCTATAGCCCATGACAGTCTACTTCCAATTCTCATCACTTTTTTAGCCTACTGATATCATACTCTTTTTTCAAGGATGGACTCAAATGCTAATACTTTTGTGAATTCTTATGCCAATACTAGAAGAAAAAAAACAGGTCATTTTCCCCCTCAGTGTTATCATTAAAAAAAACTTCACATTCATCATAGTCTCATGTACATTACAATTAGTTGTTTATAATCTCTCTGCTCCAAGTAGAATTTAAGCTCCTTCACAGCAGGCGCCACATCACATCTCTTGCAAGCCTTGGCCACACAATATTGACAAATGTATTGTGAATTGCACCAGAGAGGACTGATAATCGATCTGCCTAGAGTTATACCAAACATTCAGTTTATTGGCATCTGTGTACATCTAGATTGTTCCCAGTTTAAAATCTCAGACTAAATTTGCTGATTATCATCTGTTGAAGATCTACCACAAAAACGACTATGTAGTAGATACTTTTAAGGTTAATTCGCAGTGAAATATTGTTATTATCACACTGAATTTTAATATAATGGCTAAGTAACAAAATTGAATACAATATTAATTACTATAAACTGGATTACACAAAAGTATAAAAAAGTTTTTTAAAAATAAAGAGAAATCAAAAGTGGAGAGGGAAGAGGCTTTATAAAACAACTGTGGATAAGAACAATTACTTACTTCACAAATGCTACAGTAATGAGCTGGTTCTTCTTTTGTCCGCCCATGCCATATAATCTCTTTTCCTGCAGCAATAAGAGCTTCCCTCAATGTCTGACATTGCTTCAGAGTCCTTAGAAGACAATACCTATTGTGGGGGAGAAATTATTTGTGACCAGCAACTGAATATTGAATATTTTTAGCATAAAAGATATACCAACTAGAAATAATGCCAAGAGACTTGATTCTAATGTCTATGACTTCATAATTTTTATTTCAATTTATCAAATACTCTCAGGTTTTAAAATGACAATGCTCAGGCCTGATGAAGACCATATTAAAACATTCAAAGTTGAGAAAATTGATATCTGGATATCAAAATATAATGGTCTTAGTACATAAAAACTGACTTCCTGCTTAAATGTGAGTTGCTAATTTTGGCTCTTATTTGGGCAAGTCAGTTAACCTCTCTGGGAGTCAATTTCCTCATCCTTGAAATAAGGGGTGTGAATTCCAGATATGAACTTCTATGATTCTAATAAGGCAGGAAGGCACATTATTTTTTTTAAATCAACACTACCTAAACACTCATTAACAGCATCATCTGTACAGCTGCTTTTGAAACTCAAGTCCATAAGCAGAAAAAATATTTATGAATTTAGTCACTACAGGATACGATATTCATTTAACTATAAATACTAAAGAAAAAAGTATGTCTTCATTTTATCTTGAAGGTAACAGTGGAATCCATTCATATTAACACAATTTAACTTTTCTTATACCTTTTCTCAACTCATACTTAGGAAGCTAACAACATAGTAAATTCTCACAATTTGTACTGATTCTCCTATAGTTTTCTGTAATTACTTGGAGTTGTTTGCTCAATTATCTTACTCTCCTGTGAATCTTAGTGGCTCAGGTTCTCCATTTGAACGGAGAGGTTGAACTAGATGATCTCTAAGGCACTTTTCAGCTCTAAAATTCGGAGACAATGAAAATATCCTAAAGAAAAGGAAATGGGTTTAGCAACTGAGTGTTGTCTTGAAAGCAAAGGTCTTATCTATTGCATTCCTGCTATCTACTTATCTACTCACCACCTAGGGCAGTGCCTAGCATATAGTAGCTTAATCAATATACAACTAAAATTCAAATTATAAGTACTAAAATATTTAATTTACCTTATTTTATATTTCTTTGTTATAAGTTACTATGTTAAAATATTGTTATGTATCCAAACCCATGTATATTAACCCAGCAGTGGTTGGGGAGGCGGGGAATAACTAAAAACATCTGTAAAACCTGTTAGCTTATTTAATAAGTATAAAACAATATTGATTTCATAGTTGTAGGCCAATTCCTTAAGTATCATATTTAAAGACTGCACTCTCAGCTTGGCTTCAATAATTCTTGCATATTTAACTTAAACATTGCTTTAGACCAGCGGTCCCCAACCTTTTTGGCACCAGAGATCGGTTTCGTGGAAGATTAGTTTTTCCACAGACCTAGGGGGAGGGGCGGGGGGAATGGTTTTGGGATGAAACTGTTCCACCTCAGATCATCAGGCATTAGCTTCTCATAAGGAGCAAGGAACCCAGATCCCTTGCATGTGCAGTTCACAACAGTGTTCCTGCTTCTTTGAGAATCTAATAACACCACTGATCTGAAAGGAGGTGGAGCTCAAGCAGTAATGCCAGCTTGCCTGCTGCTCACCTCCTGCTGTGCAGCTCAGTTCCTAACAGGCCATGGACTGATACTGGTCTGCAGCCCAGGGGTTGGGGACCCCTGCTTTAGCCTGTGGTTGCGTGTCAAGGTTAGGACAGCTATCGATGTGTACATGCGTGCCTGTACAGGGCACCAGGGAAGGTAGCAAGTAAAAATTTAGATCATGGCAAAGACAGAATATAATTCAGACTCTGTCTCTAGCTCTTGAACAGCACCTGCTCCTCTCTTCTTCCCTCCCCATGTCCCATACAATTCACTTCTAAAGGTACAGATTTTACTGAACAAGTTTTCCAAGTAGGGCTTCAAAATAAGATCTCTTATAGAAAAATGCAGATACCATTGGAAGACTTCAAACTCAACTGTCCTTCCACATGGCCAAACAAAAATAATATAATAAAAGTAAATAAAAAATAAGAACCAGAGAGGAGCCATGTATTTGCTATTTCATATACATTATGCCAAGTAAGCCTCCTAACCACCATGTGGAGAAAGGTTATCTCTATCTTGCAAATGGGGAAAAGGGAGTGCAGAGAAGTTAAGTTTGTCTAATGTCATAAAGCTATTTAAGTGGTTGAGCTATGAGTTTTTAAAAGAAAATTTCAAGCTTCCCCTTACTATCTCACACTGTACCCTTCTTTTTGGTCTCTTTTCACATCTTATTCTCACCCACTCCGCTTCTTGTGAAGATGAGATTCTTGGGCTCAGGAAGCACAGTTTTTCCAAACACACAGCCTTGGTTCTATAGAGTATCAGGCTACTTGTTACTCAGCAGATAAATTTTCATCTTCAATGCCACTGACTACTTTGGCACTTAGACTGTAGTTTACAATGTATTGTTAGTTTGGCAGTTTCATCTTAAAAAAGGCATTATATTGATTTCCTGCAAGTAACAAGGGGTCTGAGATAAGGCTGCTAAGAGTAAATACTAAGCCTTAAGTAGTCAGTCTGCTTCTGGAATAAATTCTGCTCCAGAATTTATATTTTATATTTTGTGTGATACCAAAAACTTAGAAAACTGACAGTTCTATTAATCTTATCTGAGGATGAATAACAAAATTGTGATTTCTCCTTGCCTTTACTTTTTTAACACTGAAAATTTTTGTTCCTTCCCATTTTCAAAAGGCAGCAGTTGGAACAGAAGGAGAATTTAGAGAGAGAGAGGCTCTTATGGAGTCCACAGTAATGAGCAAGTCCTAAAAAGAAAGAATGTGATTCAACTTAAGGATAGGGAAAAATAGAAAGTAAAGTGATTTAGGGAAAGGATCCTAGTAAAGAAACAGATATAATATTTAAGACTTAACAATAACCTGTTCTGCTTTGATTAGCCCCAGACTGATTTTATACAAAGACAACATTTAAGTACATTAAAGAGCTAAAAAATAAAAGCTAAACAATCAGGATTCTCATTTCCTCTTAATTTTAGTTTTGCTAAATTTCTGTAAGTTTACCTTATGGTAATTAATAATTCAATTTGCGGGCTGGGCGTGGTGGCTTGTGCCTGTAATCCCAGCACTTTGGGAGGCCGAGGCGGGTGGATCACCTGAGGTTGGGAGTTTGAGACCAGGCTGACCAACATGGAGAATCCCCGTCTCTACTAAACATACAAAATTAGCCAGGCATGGTGGCATATGCCTGTAATCCCAGCTACTGGGGAGGCTGAGGCAGAAGAATTGCTTGAATCCGGGAGATGGAGGCTGTGGTGAGACGAGATCGCACCATTGCACTCCAGCCTGGGCAACAAGAGTGAAACTCCATCTCAAAAAAAAAAAAAAAGAATTCAATTTGCTAAAAACGAAAGAATAAATCATTTGCAAAAGTTGTAAACACATAGAAGATGGAAAATGCTATTTTGCATACATGCACTTTAGAAACAAGATCAAAAATGATTTCGGCAGCTAGAAAAGCAGGAAATCCTTTGACGTTTAAGGATCAGTATTGGCTTCAGGACCCAATCTCTGTTTTTAGCTGTTTGGATGAAAGACTACACAAAAAGGCAGGGGACAAAGGAAGTTCCAGAACGGAAGAAAACCATAAGGAAGAGGCTGATTGAGAGCTTGGCATATTTGAGGTTATATACTAGAATCTAATCCAACCAAAAAGTGATCTGCAAAGATGAAACTTAAAGAGCGATAGAATTTTAGAGAACAACTTCACACAGGGAATAGAATGAAAATACACTTGCAATATTACAACAAGAGAACTGAATAAAATAATATGTAGACATATTATCAAAAGCCTTACTTATGGGCAATTAATGCACAGTATATTCATAAATCAATACATGAGGACATTAGGCAAAAAATAAACATAGTATGCTATGGATACTAAAAGGAGAGAGATCATCTTCAGGTGAGGGGAAGTAGAGAATCACAGAAGTTTTCATACAGAAGTTGAAATTTCTGAATCAATTTATTTATGAACAGGACAAAGAGGTGCGGGAAGGCACATTCTGAACAGAAAGAATGCCACAATAAGGTAGTATGGGGGCTTCTTTAGGGAACAAACAAGTTTCTGGGGCAGGAAATAATAGGAATGAAGCTGTAATATTATATTACATCAAAGTTAAGACAACACTGGGGGTTACTCTGACATTCTAATGGCAATGTGACTCAGTTTCCAAAGTCAGTTACCAAACAAATATCAATGTGGAGATAGATGAAATATGGGTTAACTTGGTATTGCACTTTTAAATGCTTTATGGTAACAGTCTCAGCCACTGAGAAGTAGATAACAAATTAACGAACACCAAGAGGTGCCTTGCTCTGCCCAGTCTGCCTTACTGAAAGAGCCATGTAGGAAAAGCAAGCCAACATATGAGCTCTGAAAACTCTCTTGCCACCTGTCACTCCAGGGTTGTGTTGTCCTAGGACAACAGTGGGTATATGAATGTTAGTAAGGCATCTAACAGTTTTATTTACACCAACCACATGGCTGAAAATCAAGGTCTCAGTCAATGATAAAATGCATATCTTAAGAACTTTAAGCTCCTAGGTGGAAAAAAAAAAAGCATGAAAGCAGATATATATTAACCATGAGAATGCAGTTTTAGAATTTTTAGATTTTGTTTGGTCAGTGTTATCAAAAAGCATTATATATCAAACCCAACAGAGTATCAGAATACTGCCAGGACTACAGCAGTAGGATCAATGCTAACTATGGACTGGTCTTTATGGCTATACCATTATCTATGCACACTGTTGGAAAAATCTTGTTCCATTATTAGGTCAAATGGGTGTGGAATAAAAAGTTGTATAACACTATAATACCATATTTATCCATTTAAATAAGGGAATCAAAGGAGAGTTAATACTTATGAGTTTGCTTTTACATTTTGGAATTCTGTGTTTGTGATAAAGTATATTTTATGTAGGTAGGTAAGGTAATAACCTATAATGTATGTGAAAGAAAAGGGAGCAAAAAAATTCTTAGTTCTAAAAAAGACCTAACTTGTCTGATAAGATTCACTAGGTCACCATGAAAAAGGTTCCCGAAGTTCTTGGCATAGAGCTCTGAAAACCTATTTTAATAAGAGTTCCAGGTGATTCCTGTGATCAGCAAGTAAGAGAACCAGCACAAATCTCTTACTCCATAAGTGTCAAAATTAAAACCAGTGTCTCAGATTTGTAGTGTATTTTTCAATAGACACTGGTAAAATATCAACCTCACAAATCACTGCGTTTTTAGGGTTAGAGCCTTTAAGAGACCATAGAAAGAGCTGTAGAGTGGGCAAGAGCAGACTCTATACCTAGACTCTCTGGGTTCAAATTCCAGCTGCACACTTCTTTCTGTGCCTCAGTTTCCTCAGCTGAAAAAATATTTAACTTACAGTGCTGTTATAAGGATTACATATGTTATATAAAATACTTAGACTTGTGCCTGACAGTTAATGCTCAACAAATGTTAATTATTTGAACATGACATGTCAAATTCCTAAACTGTATTAAAATAATCATATAATTACTAAATTAAAGGTATTTAATTTGAAAAAATTGTATGATGAATGCCAACTCAAAGTATAATAGTTAACACACCAAAAAGAAAATGAAACAAGGTTATTCAAAAGGTGTTTAGTCTGGATTCCATTAGATAAGGGTTTTTCAATCTCAGCACTATTGGTATTTATAGCTGGGTAATTCTTTGTTATGGGGAGCTGTCCTGTGCACTGCAGGATATTTAACAGCAGCATTCCTAATCTCTACTCAAAAAACCTAGTAGCATCTCTCCCACTCAAGCCATGATATTGGCATATGTCCCCTGGGAAAGGAAAGCAGGGGGAGGAA